CTGGACAAGCTTAGCACTCATTCTTTTTGAAGTGAACATGTATTAATTAGAATGACGTCTGGCTGTGAGTCACAGGAGATGTAAAATAACCCAAGTCGCTTTCTCCATGAGCATCTAGGCAGGTAGCCATGGCAGCCCCAAACATGTATGTTTTATTCACGGATCATGCTTTTTCCGTCCTGTTGCTCTCCAATGAATGGACTCCATTCCCAAATCCCCTCGTGGCCCAAGATGGCTTGCTCTAGGTCCTGCTGTCACATTTGCATGCCAGGCATCAGAAAAGAGAGTGCAGGGGACAAGGAACACAACCTTTCTCTTACTGGGTGCTTCCCAAGAGGTGCATACGCTACTTCCTCTTAAATCTCATTGCCTAGAATCAAATCTCCAGAGGAGGTCGGGAAATCTAGTCTTGACTCTGAGAAGTTATGTGCCCAGTTAACGTCCAGGGACCTATTGCAAGGAATAAAGGAAGAAAGAATGAAAGTTGCGGTGGATACATTCTCTGCCAAAGGCCACTTCAGTGCTGTCCCTATGAGCTGAAACCACACCTTCCGTGGGTTTGCACAGGTCAGTCCCACTGATAATTTATATATCTCTGGTTTTCCTAATGCCTGTTTTAGAAGTTTGAAGGAGGGGGATTGTATTCCAATTTTGGGACTCTGTTCTATTTCCTTTGAAATAAGGAGAGAGAATTTGTGGATTGGTGAGTTCTCTCTGTTCTCCCCAATTTTTGTGGTCAGTAATCCACATTTATTTGACAGATTTGTATTGGGGTGTCCAATTTTTAGACACAGCTATACTTCTATTTGTCATTCAATCTTCACATTAGCCCTTGGTTTTAGGTGCAATTACCCACATTTTACAAATGCTCAGGAGGTTTTAGTAACTGATCCAAGGCCAAGGAGCTAGCAAGTAGTGCCAAGATTTGTGCTCAGGTCTCTGAACGCAGGTGCAGAGCTCTCTCAGAGCGCCATTCTGGCTTCCTTTTCCCTGCTGTCCCTGGTATAGCTCTACCAACTTGAGTCACAGTCTGGTTTGACTGCTTGCCTTGTCCAACTATCTGGGTTTCAGGGGACACTTAAATTGTCTTTGGTTTTTTTATCTTCTGTATCAATTTGAGAACTGGCCAAAGACTAAGAAAACCCTGTTGAGATTTTGATTGGGATTGCATTGAATTTATGCATCAATTTGGAGGGAGATTCCATCTTTACAAAACTGAATCCTCCCATCTATAAACATGGGAGGAGGCAAAGATGTTCCATGAACATCTATGAACATTTCCATTTGTTTAGGTATTCACAAACTTTTTCAATAAAGTATTTTGATTTTATCATTGTCTTGAGTATCTAGATTTATTCCTTGGTACCTTATAGTTTTGTTGCTGTTGTAAATGGTTATTTTTTTTCTTTTTCCTTTAAAAAAAAAAACCCAGCAAGGAGTTCATTTTTCTCATACAAAGATATTCAAAGATAAATCTTCCAGCACTAGATATGGGTTCCTAATTCCAGGAGGATTTATAACAATAAATGAAATGCGAGAAGGGGAGAAGGCAAAGGGCAGAAGGTGGAGAGAACCAAACAATCACTCTGTTCCCAGGGACTTCTCTTGATTTCCCGTTGGCTGAGAGTGTGGGCCATGAGTTGCAAGGAAGGCTGGGGGTGGTGACTTTTTTTTTTAAAAACAGGGTACATGGCTGCCTTGAATAACAAAGCTGGATTTCTGTTAGTGAGGAAGGAGAGAATGACTATTAGATTGGTCACGAGTGGCCTATTTTTTTTTTTTTTTTTTTTTTAAAGATGACCGGTAAGGGGATCTTAACCCTTGACTTGGTGTTGTCAGCACCACGCTCTCCCAAGTGAGCGAACCGGCCATCCCTATATGGGATCCGAACCCGTGGCCTTGGTGTTACTAGCACCGCACTCTCCCGAGTGAGCCACGGGCCGGCCCCCACGAGTGGCCTATTCATCTCTAGGACTGCTCTTTACCTTAAAGTCTACTTGATAAAACCGTACCGATTTGGTTGTTACATCTTTTCCCACCCATCCTTTTACTCTTGGTCTTTCTGCGTTCTTGTTATAGACGTGTTTCTTATAAATAGCATATGGATGAATTTTATAAAAATACAATCTATCTTTGCATTTTAAATGGACTATTTACTCTTTTTCTGCTTTCCATTTTGTCTTGCTTTTGAAAATATTTCTTATCTCCTCTGTTTTCTTATTTTGCATTGATTGAATTTTTTCTCATTCTTCATTTTTCTCCAAGTTTAAAGTTTTGTGATTTTTTTCTATTCTTTTAGTAATTACCTTTGAACTTTTAATAAAGCACTTAGCTTAAATTTAAATATTTGAACGAGGTGTTAGTTGACTAAATACAAAAATGAATGAGCTAACAAAGGCTAAATTTAATCAACATCTTTACCTCTTTTCCAAACAATGCAAGGATTTTATAACTCTTTTTTTTTTTTTTTTTTTTCTTTTTCCNGCGGGAGCGCAGCTGCGCTTCCCAAGCGGCGCACTAGCGCAGTGCGCCACCGGGCCGGCCCGGATTTTATAACTCTTTAATTTTAGTTATTTCTTGCCAGGAGGGGAATGATATAATTTTGCTGTTTCTTCTAGTTAATGTCACTTGAATGCTTTTAATAATTCTTTTTGTTTTCTAAAGTTTTAGTTTATGTGTTTAGGTGAGGATTTCTTTTTATCTATGTGGCTTTGTTTTTGTTGTGCTTCTCTCTGAAAATTCTTGTGTTTTACTAATTCAGGAGATTTCTCAGCCATTATGTCTGAATATTTTTTTCCTCTCATTCTCTGTAGTTCATCTTGGAATTCTGCTTAGACATGTGAGATCTAAATGTCTCATATTTCTATTTTCCATTTTTTTTTTCTGTTTGAGCTGTATTCTCAGTAATTCCTTCAGAACTATCTTCTACTTCACTATTTTTCTCTATGGCTATGTCTAATCAGTTTATTGGAGTTTTTATTTGAATTACTATAATTTTTATTTCTAGAAGTTCTCTTTGGGTTTTGAAAAAATATATTTGATCATTTAAAAATTTTCTCTTATTTTTGCTAATACTTTAATTCTCCTTTTTATTTATTTAAACATACTAAACATGCTAATTCTGTATTCCACATTTAAAAATGACAATAACTGAAAGACCTGTACTGCTGATTTGATGTTTGTAATTGATGTTGAATCTCAGGGATTTTAAAATTTTCTTTTCTTTTTTTCTGTGAAGCCATGCTTTAGGAATTATTTGAGGCCTTAGTTGAAGATGAATTTCTCCAGATGGATTTTTGCATTTGTTTCTGACAGGTGTCTGGGTTCACTACCATCTTGAGGACCTTTAAATTTTTTTCTCAGAATTTAAGATCAGTTAAATAGTGGTATTCAATCCATAAGTCATGTTAGGGCCAGCTTATATTCACAAATCTTCGTCTCGCCCCTTTCACCAAGAGTTTGTCATTTTCCTTGATGGGGTGGATTGTTTCCCCCAATTGTTTACTGAGATTGCAGATTTATATAGGGTTTTTACTTTGACTCCCCAGTTTAAGTGACTTTAGCTTTGTTGACTGTCTTTATCAAAGTTATTAAGTGTACTTTTGGGTTACAAGAGGTTGGCAGATGCTTTTAGGGCAGTGTGCAGGAAAAAGTTAACACAGAAGGTTGCTCTTTACAAGGTCCTGCTTGCATGGTCAGCATTTGGCTGTCCTCTCAGAATTTGGCCTTTGGGGGGCCGGCCCGGTGGCGCACTGGATAAGTGCGCCACTTGGGAAGCGCGGCGGCGCTCCCGCCCGAGGGTTCGGATCCCACATACAGACCGGTTCCCGCTCACTGGCTGAGCGAGGCGCGGGAGCAACACCGAGGGTTGCGGTCCCGTTGCCGGTCCCCGGTTCGGTGCAGGGGCAACACTGAGGGTTGCGATCTGTTGCCGGACACGGAAGAAGACAAAAAGACAAAAAAAAAAAAAAAAAAAAAAAAGAATTTGGCCTTTGGCATGTTCCTATGCTAATAAGGTAGTTTTGTGTGCTGGGTCACTGAATTCCACTCTATCAGCTTGCCTAGACTGTTTGTACAAATAATGTAATTTCAGGTGGATACCTGCTTTTCTTTTGGGAGTCTTGGATTGCAGTAGCTGTACAGGTGGAGAGTGTACCACCGTGGACATCCCCCAATCAAAACCTTGGTCTCTGAGTGTCACACGGGTTTCCCTGGCAAAGACACTGACATGTTACTGTGTGGCCACTCACCAGTGGGAGGATGTGGGAAGCCTGTGTCTGGATTCCTCCAGAATCCACCTAAGGTGTCTTTTCCCCTTGTTGATACTGCGCTGTGCTGTTCTGCTGTAGTAAAACTTTGCCACGAGCACAACTACATGCTGAGCCCTGTGGTCCCTCAAGTGGAGCACTGAGTCTGTGTGTGGTCCCTCAAGTGGAGCACTGAGTCTGTGTGTGGTCTTGGATTTCAAGATTCAGCTCTCTGAATTCATGACCCGAATTCTGTTATGACCTTTGAGGGTTTCCCTCATTTTCTTGATAGTTTAGCTATTAATTTAAAAATATTTGATTGATATTTTATCTAGCAGTTTTATGTATATTTTAATGGGGCAATTATTCAGAGTTTCTATTTCACCATGTTATTGAATGTCCTATCTTATTTTTAAAATGATTGCATTTTTGGTGTTATATTGTCTACTTCTTAATATTTCCAAATAGTCAAAATAAAAATTTCAAGTTTCAAATTGCCAAGCATTCACCTTCTTAAATCTGAATGGCAGGAAGTGCGGCTCAGAGTCTCAGCCCCTCATCCTTTGTCCCTAGGCATTTGGACCTACAGCCACAGGACCAGCTTCGGAGAGACTCTAGTTCCAGATCCAGTAACTCTAGACCCAGGAAGGAGGTTAGGGAGCTGGGGGAGGAGCATTTTAGGTGTGCTGTGGGATTGTTCTCTACTGTGTCCCCCAGCCAAGAGTGATGTCCTGGAATAACTAAGCAAGAAGCTGGAAGCAATAATACGAGTTTATTATCAAATTACTGCTCAGGATGGTGAAGGTGAGCAAGGAAAGGGTAAGCACTGCTATGATGGTTGGGTGGAGCAGGGCAGTGGCTGTGGTCATGGAGGAAGGACAGTGGGGGTGACTGGACCGTCCCTTTTGCCCGGTCTGGTTCTTCTTCCAGGAGCCAGGTGAAGGGACACCCAGTGCTGGAGCACCAGGCACACATGCTCAGGAGAGGCAGAGCTAGATCCCACTTACTTCCAGCAGATTCTTCTGGTCTCTTTCCTAAGGGAGGGGAGGGCAAGACAACCCAGGTTGGGGGAGAGAGTCAAATGCTCTGCTCCAGGGCAGCTTAGTTTTGGAGCCAGCCCAGGTCCAGCACTGGCTGCATGGTACCAATAGCCTGCATTGGATTCAAAAAGCCCCAAAGGCCTAGCATGGATAGGGGCCTCCCTGGCTTCCTGGTGTCTTTGGCTTGAGGGCTAAGGGACAGGGGCTCTCCAGGCTGGGCCACCACTGGGGTTGAAAGACAGGCATGATGTTACTTGTGACTTGTGTCATGGGCCCTTTTCTCCTCCCCAAACCATCCACTCTCCATTCCTGTCTCCTCTGAACAGCTCTGCTGCCTTAACCAACAGATACACACTTTAGTGACTCACCTCCGTATGTAGGAATTTTCTCCAGCAGAACAGAAACAGAGGAGCCAGACTTGCCAGAAGCAGCAGGATCCAGACACCCAAGAGCATGGCATGAAGGCTTATGATCAGGGCCTGGGGACAGAGGACCAAAGCCATAGGCACCAGAGTGACAGCTGCCTTACTGCTCTGTCCCCATGCTCTTCACCAACACAGGTCACTCTCCACCCCTTCATCTCCAAGTCCGTGGCTTCTGGAAGCGGGTCAACACATCCAGTGTGCAGAATGTGGCCAGGAACCCCTCTCCTTCAGCCTCAGTGTCCTTCTCTGTACAGTGATGGGCTTGGGCTGTGCTTTGATTCTCTGATAACCCCCAAGACTCGAGGGGATCAAGGGAGCGTGTGCCTCGAACACTTCTGCAGCACTTCACACACTTGCAATGTTGGTTCTATGAACGTTATTTTAATGTTTGTTTTTGTCATGAGTCTGTAACACTCATAACTTCAGGAGTTTTGTCAATGCTGCATCATTGGAGACAATAACCAAACATGGAGCAGAACAGGTAACACCTATTTCCAATGGACAGCCTTATTATTGTCCTGGTCCTGGCCCTCCTTGCCCCTGCCTGCTGCTGCCCCCTTCCCTCGGTCACCTACCGCCAGCATGTTCACGTAGGAGAGGCACTGGTGTAGCCTTCTGACTTCTTCTGGATTCTCAGTGATGGGGATCTGGGTGGCCCAGCTCCTCTGGGGGGAGGTGTTACAGACATAATCTCCAGAAAACAAGTCAGGCCCCAAATCCCTGGCCTCAATGACGATGGCGGCAATGGCTGTGGAGAAAGCTGCCAGCTTGAGCAGGGTCTTCAGCAGGGCCTAGGGAGGGGAGGGGACAGAGGGGGCCACTGTGATTCAGTTTCTCTTGGAGCCCAGTCTGGGGAAAAGAGGGCAAGGCCCAGTGGAGCCTGTGTGTGACAGGGCAGAAGGCTTGGGGTGGCCTCCAGCCTGAGCCTGGTTCCCTCCCTTCCCCTTCCTTGAACTCACCCAGCAGGTGCCACCCCGTCTCTCGTAAATGAAGGCAGCAGCTCCAGCCAGCACAGCCTGGGGAGAGGTTGAGTGAGGAGCAGGGTGAGCACAGGAAATGCAGGTCCCCTCCACCTGTCTGCTTCTGCTTCCCTCTGGAACTCCACCTGTAGAGCCAACCACGTGCTGCTCCTTCCCTAGCACACTGTGGGCTTGAGGTTTTGCGCTACGCTTTGCTGTCTGTGGTAAGATGACTGTTGAGGGTGTGGAGCCTGGATCAAACTCCTGACACTGCTGGGTGCTCTGTTTTAGTGACACTGAAAAGTGCTTGTGGTCAAGCTGGGTGCGAGCCCTCCCTCCCTTCTCCCAAACCTTCCTTTTTAAGCAACGTCAGGTGCTTTATGAAAGTTCCCAGGATGGTGCAGTCTTGTGGGTGGAAGTGCCAGGTTATTGGAGAAGCTCTCGGTGCAGGATGAGTCCTCAGGCTGCCTCAGGTCTAAATGCCTGCCTGAGAGTGCTCAGTAATCCATCCAGCTGGGCTCCAAGACCTGGAAGTCTAGTACATCCAGTGGACAGGTGGATACAAGTCCTGTTTGGCTATTCTGTAACTAATCCGAGTGCTTTTTGCCATTGGATGGATGAGGATGATTACTTTTGGCTCCTCTCTCAATAAACATGTTTTGCTGTTATTCTGAGAGTGTGGGTATGTCAGAGGGCCCCTGAGTCCTACCATGATCAGCCCACCGAGCTCCTACTGCAGATTGCACACACCTGTCTGTTGACACTAATCCCTGGACTCCCACTGTGTGCAGGACATGCAGAGGACCATGGGAATAACCAGGAGGCGACACTTCCTGTGGTGAACATTCTCTCTGCTTTCCCTATCTCAATGAAGCATCTGTGGTGAGTGGGTGCTCAGATCCTTAGCTGATATTTGCTGTCGAAGCGAGGGGGGGGGGCGGGGGAGAGGCAGCCAGTTTGGTGGGAGAAGCACAGGGCAGGGCACCGGGAGAGCTGCCCGTGTGACTTTGGACATGCCACCACTTCCCTCAGCTGCTCTCTTATCTGTACAAACAGGGAATGGGGCTAGATAATTAGGGTCTTTCCGATTGCTGGCATTCTGCGGCACAATGTTAAATGTGGTGGTGTGAAGGTAATAAGGACAGCTATATCCCTGTCACCCCTGGCGGGGGGGGGGGGGGGGGGGGGGGGGGGGGGGGGGGGGGGGGGGGGGGGGGGGGGGGGGGGGGGGGGGGGGGGGGGGGGGGGGGGGGGGGGGGGGGCGGGGGAGAGGCAGCCAGTTTGGTGGGAGAAGCACAGGGCAGGGCACCGGGAGAGCTGCCCGTGTGACTTTGGACATGCCACCACTTCCCTCAGCTGCTCTCTTATCTGTACAAACAGGGAATGGGGCTAGATAATTAGGGTCTTTCCGATTGCTGGCATTCTGCGGCACAATGTTAAATGTGGTGGTGTGAAGGTAATAAGGACAGCTATATCCCTGTCACCCCTGGCAGAAGATCAACCACTGTCTTGCCCCACTCACCACAGCCCCTGTCCAGATGGCAGCTCCTGAGAAGAGTATGTGGGAGTGGACGATGTAGAGGAATCCTCCCAGGACCCCACTCAAGACCCCCAGCACAATCTGTACCACCTGAAAGACAAAGGACCTAAGAATCCGGCTCCTGGATGCCTGGCACAGAGGCAGCCCTCTGCCCCACGTCTCAGGGTAGCTTTGAGGATCTGCCATTCCAGGTATAAATGGCTAAAACCCCATGGTGGGGGGGAGGGAGGGACAGGGTGGGGAGAGACAGAGAGAGAGAGAGAAGAAAGGAGAGGAGAGAGAGGGGAGGGGATGCAGCCCATCCTGGGTCTGGCCGAGGGGAGAGGATGGACTCAGGGCTCTACTAGTGGGGACTTTAAATGGTCATTGGCTCCTTCACACCCCCTTAATCTGCAGCTCACTGTCCCCAAGCTTGTACCGAGAAGGCCAGAGAAGTTGATTTCTAGGTAGGAAGATACAGCTGGCTCAGTGTCCTCCCAGAGAGAGGCTGGCAGAGAGCATGTGGCCATCAAGAATGGGCCCAATATGAAGGGACTCAGGTGTCCCTCCCGTGGCCCCACCCGGCAGGCAGCCATGCTCACCCTGGAGGCCACCAGCAGCCGGCTGCTGCCTGGGGTCTTGGTGTTGGTGGCTGTGGCAGGGGCTGGGGGCCACAGCAGAGAGCATCCGGCGAGCAGGAGCTTGGCCACAGCTGACTCCTGGTGGATGTGCACATCGATGCGGGTGGGCTGCGGGGCCTCTGGGGCCACCTTGCCACCGTCTACCATCCCCATGTCCATGGACATCCGTCTGTGAGAGAAGGGAGCACAGGGAAGAAAAGTTGGCAGAAGACGTTGACAGATTTCACTGGAGTTGGGGAGGTTAGGGGCCAGTGGGGGCTCAGGGTCACGGATGGCAGCCCCTGGCCACAGAGCTGCACCCCTACCCCTTGAGGGATGTCTGTCAGGGCAGCCTGACCCTGCTGGGGTTGAGGCACCTGCTGAGCCCCCTGGAACCTCTCTTTGCCCCAGATCTGCTTTGCCCCTCATCCTCCTCCCAGGACTGGCATCTGGGTCAAGCAGTGGTCACCCCCCCACCCCCGTCCCCTCCCCACCGACCCCCCATGTGGTCCCTGCTGCCTCCTGGCTCTTGTCCTCCAGAGCTCAGAGCCCTTAGCCTACCAGACAGAACCCCTGAGACCTTGGCCGGTTGAGCTTCTGTCGCAGCTCCAGTGCTCCGGGGACCTCCTCAGCCCCCAAAGACCTACCTCTCCACCAAGTCCCCTGGCACTACCTGCCAATGTCCCGCTGCCCCCGTCCCCGTGAAGGACTGAGTCACGGTGGACACCCGTGGCAGTGCTCCCTCCCAGCAGGCTGCGGGGTAGCCGGGGGTGGGGGTGGGGGTGGGAGGCCTGGAAGGAGGCCGG